AATGACATCAATCAGAGATTTAGACGTTTCTGTCACTCTTGTGGGCTGGGTAATAAGCTGCTTCATATTCAGACTTGTACACAAGTTGTTTAATGTTCTTGATTTAGAAGAACTAACGAGCAAATCGCAGTTGAGATCTCCGACCACTAGAATAGGTAGGCCATATACAACCGCTTGCGTATAGCGGTCCCTGAAATCTTCAAATCAGGCAACATTACAATCAGGAGGCTTGTAAGTGACGCACAGCAAAAATGACTTGAGCGTTTTGTGCTGAACTTGCATCCATAATTGGTGAAAACCAGTGTCTGATATTCCGGATAGGTCTTTAAGTACCTTAGACTTCAAGGTCTTGCGCATGTACGCGCACAACCCGCCACCAAACTCATTCTTCATGTTTCTCGGCCTGTCCAGTCTTGACAAACCGTATCCGTCAATTTCGACCTCAGCATTCTTTACACTTGAATTTAGCCAAGATTCTGAAATTGCCAAGATTGCATACTTCTTTTCATCCATTAAATTCCTCACTTGAATCAAATGCTCTCTTGTCTTTAACGATCGTACGTTTGAGTGTGATAGGTGTTCATACTGCATACTGGATAGCCGCTTTTCTCTTTTTTTGACTGACTAACAGGAAAATTCTCCGCTTTAGGGTAGCTTCAGTTTAAGCTACAATTCTTCCCTTAAATTCACATATGTTGCGGATCACTTTTTTTTTTAGAAAACAATGCAAAAGAGCTAGGCCCGGCGTTACAAAACACTAAGCAGGGAATCATCACACTGACACACAAAACAACTACAAATATTTATTCAGATAAACGCATTTCGGAAAAAAACCTTAAGAAAGTAAAACCTTGATTAATATAGGGGGTCATTAACTCGAAATAAAGACCTTGACGTTTAAAAAAATTGGCTGAAGAAAACCGGTGCTAAAATCCAATTTTGTCAGAACTGCAGACAACAAACTTCAGAAAATATATTATCAATATGCATGGAACAGCTTCATGGCCTCTTAATGTGACAAAAGCAGCCAAAATTGCGATTTACACAGTCAGATTTTACAATTTTCCACAGCATAATCTACCCGCTAGAAATTAAATAAAAGAAAGAAGGTCTCTGAGGAATGTTCTAGAGCAAAGAGCGAAAAGGTATGTTTCACTAGATTATGATTGTGTTTGACTTGTCAACACTGTATTTCCTGCTATTTGATGAAGAACAGCGGCACTGTCATTACGTCGTTGTGATTGCCGGGCTCTTTCCAGCTCTGACTAGAGGGGGAAAACGCTGCTCTGTTTTTGGCGGAAAAATGTTGAGGCCCCAAGCATCGCCGGGAATTTTTCGTGAAATACTGCGCTTTGCATACAGCAAAATAGGTAGCCTGTTACAGGCTCTCAGATAGTGGGGAAGACGCCAAAGAAAAAGGGACGCGGAAAGACCGCGAGGCGGGACGTTTCCTCCCGCGTTTTATCTCTGTGTTTGCGCTTTCTCAAGTCAGCGGACCCGACTAAGTCTCGGAGCCTGGAACAGGCTACAGAATATGCAATGGATTTCCAAGCTTTCTAATCGGCTGTATTTTTATGGCTCGAGATATATACACTGTTGTAAAAGCTATCTACCTTGGTAATACAGTCGACTCCCGATAACTCGAACCTTCAAGGGAAATCACAAAAGGTTCGAATTATCGGCAGTTCGAGTTATCGGGAGTTCGAAGAAAATAGCCGAGAGTAAGGTAAAAACAGTCTTTACTGCACAGTGAACATTTTAAACACATTTAGTATTAGAAATGTCAAGTGAAAATTAAAAGACACTTCGAGATTATAAATCAGAACGCAACGTAACAAAACATAGCCTAAATAGAGCATGCCTTTTACTGTTTTGAGAAGAAAAGCTGCTTCTCTTTAGCCTGTGGCAATCGACATCAGCCTCCACTAGTAAACTATACTCCTACAACAAGTCAATAGGAAATCCAAAATTCAATGTTTTGGACGTCAGTAGACGGCTTTTTTCCCGACTTTTTAAGGGCTCAAAACATGGTCCGAGTTATCGAGGGTAAAATTATATAGAAAATGACTTGAGGGGAAAAGAAAATTGGTTCGAGTTAGCGGGAGTTCGAGTTATCGAGGGTAAAATTACAATGAATATATGACGGAAATCCAGGGGAAATCGATTTTGGTTCTAGTTAGCGCGAGGTTCGAGTTAGCGAGGGTTCGAGTTATCGGGAGTCGACTGTAATATATTAAGCTCTCCGTCCTGAAGCCCTAAGTGGGATCAAAATCTGCAATTTAGCAAAAATCTCCTCTCCCGTATCCCCTTAGGAAGACCTGATACTCAGGCTAATTTATACCTCACGTCGCTTTCACACGGATTCCCCCGGGAGTCAGGGACTCCAAAAAATTCTCTCCTGTTAGTAACACAATTTATTTTACAGCTGCAGCTTTTTCTGAAGGATTTTGAAGGTTAGTTTTGAGATATTTCCTATCTTTTAAGCTCGTTTTTGTTTGCTTGAGCGGGACAAGATTACATTTTCAGAGATTTTCGTGTCTGAGGTAAAAGTTGACGCTTATTTGAACTATCATGTTCCGCGATGCAATTAGCCTGTTCACAGACCCTCTATTCAGGTCTCATAAAAGTCCGCCTAGCGCGAGTGATAAATATAAAAAAGCTGGGAATTAAATGTCCGCTAGCAACGTCTGTGTACAGGCTACAATGCAATTTGGTTTAACCATAAAATTTTGCATTTTTTTATTTCTCTTGGGATTAATACTCTTGTGGCGAAAATACATTGCGTTATAGGATTTACCGGAAGCCGACAACGGTCTGACGCTAAGCGATTTGATAGTTTTACGTGAAACTGAAGAAGAATTTAATTGAAATATTGATTTTTCGTCAGCTTCCTGAAACAAATGTAATTGCAAAAGCTAACGCGATGGCCATTAATAACATTCCGGGGAAAGATAAAAAACAATGCAATTGTACACTGACTTGTCAAAAATCATCTCCGCATTCCAGACTACCAGTTAAAGCTCAAATAACCATTTAAAAAATCGCAACAAGAACACGCGACACGTACGCTGCAAATGAATCCTCCCAAATCAGATTAGTAGACAAAGTAAAGGATATTGCATGGCAGCGTTTGAAAACGCACTTATCACTTGTCACAATGTTAGCATAAACAAGTTACATTGTACATGTTTCTGGTAAAGAATACACAGAATGTTCATGCGCAGGAGCTAGACAGTAAACAAAGTAGATTTAATTCGTAAATAATAAGTTAATCTCGCGACTTTGCAGAGCTGCGACGGACTAAGTCCATTGAAGGACCGGAAAACTTTCCTACGTTTACGGACCATTTGCGCATGTCCACTTGAACTACCAAGTTGTGGCTTTACAGACAGCCATTTATTTCAGTTATCTTCGCTTACCGGAAGAGAAAGGTAGCTGCAAGGTAGGCTAATTCACTCTCTATAGGGAGCTTTGGCAACGACGACGGCGACGGCAACGAGGACGTCAAGAAAGCAATAGGTTTATTACGCAAACAACAACTTTGCACGTACATCTCGCTTTTTTGTACAATTCTTCACCGTCCTTGCACGACTACGACGTGAAAATGCCTAATTGCAAGTTTAATGGAGGACGTAAACGAGCGACGACGAATTCTTTTTCCCTCTCTAAAGTTGAGTGCGCTCCTCAAGAAATCAACTCCAGGGAAATTCGCCTACATTTGCCATTTTCAGCAAATTGGAATAAACGCGACAGTGTTTGGAAAACGGAAGTTCATTTTAAAAGTAACGTTTTCACTGCCGTTGCCGTCGTCGATGCTAAAGCTCCCTTATATTTCAACATAATTCTTACCCTTTATTTCAATAGCGCTTTAAATAAACGTTTAGGTGTTGTACGTTTAAACGAAACTCGTCCAGTCGAAATCCTCCATTCAGTGAAAAACTTTGTTCGGTGGCGCTTATTTTGGCCATTCCCACATGAACAGACTTCTAGCTAGACCCTTTGAAGACTACGTCTGACATTCGACGAAGGCTAAACCTAGTCACTGAACGTCCTTATTGTTTCCCTGCGTTAAGCCGAGCGAACAATCGACACATGTTTTTTGGCATAAAGTTCAAGGAAAGAGGTTATTAACTCCAGTCCAGTATCGCCCACTTGACACGAGTCGGTAAAAAAGGTTTTATAACCCGTATGGTTGGAAAGAATGTGTCGACTCGACAAGCAGAGTTTGTGTTTACTAAGAATTAATGCATCTTGGAAAAGCTACGAAATACTGTCGACTACTAGGAGTGGAACACCGCCTGACACACATGTGAAAGGGCTGTTGCACCGCTGATGTAATGTATTATTTTTCGTCTTTTACACATGTTTGCCGTACGGATCGACAAAATTATAATTGAAGGCTTGACGACTGAAAACTTGTATCACACTATAAGGCAATAACTGTTTACAAATCCTCTATATTACATATTTTTTCCAACAAAATTTGCACGAGTTATAATTGTTTTCAAATGTTCTTGGGAGTATATATGCAGTCCATCCAGAAGTATAATTAAAAACAAAATTTGAAGGGTAAAGAGAATCATTATGGGGGATTCGAAGATAGTAATAAATACAGCTCGTTATAAGTGGAAATGCTTTTTTAGCATTTAGTCTCAGAGTGGGTTCGTTCTTGCTTTGTTCGTAAAACTTTAATTCAATAATCCCAGCATTAGCGTTCTGGTAAAAAATAGCTTCTAATAATAATAATAATAATAAAAACAAATGTACGACCATATCACTACAGTGGAACCCCGATACAACGATCCTCGATATAACGATATCCTCGGTATAACGATATAAATATGCTATGTCCCGGCAAAAGTTACAGTAAAATGTATGGGACAGAACCCCAATATAACGATCTTCGATATAACGATATTCTCGATATAACGATGACTTTTTAGCGCACCGAGCGTAAAATCTTCCCCGATATAACGATATTACAGTATCAGTACACAGAT